CCCACGGGGGCGCCGGGCTGGAGTGTCTGCTGTGGGCGCCACTGCACGACCAAGGAAGGAACAGGAACGAAATTGCATCCAGGGCCTTGGGGGATCCGGGCAGCGCTGGCCGAGGGGCCCGTAAACCTGCCCGGCCCCCCAGGTTCTCGCACACAGCGCGACGCAGCCCCTGCACTCCTGCGACTCCGGGGAAGATGCGCCTCACCAAGCCCAGACCAGAAGCGAACCTGGAAGCTAAGGTTCTTCACCACGACCTCAGTCATTTCTTTGTTGTTTTCTGAGACACTTTATTTTAGGGAAGAGCATCTTCCTGGATTTGTCTTCACGGAAGGGTAAACTGTCGGGCACTACTTTCCCTGTGAGATCTGGCCCTGCCGGCCCTGCCGCAGAATCTTTGATCTCCTCTGCCGCGTGACACTTAGTAGGGTGGCGTGAGCCTCATCCTGCTCTCAGGCCATTTGAATGTGTAGTTTGTGAGACGTGTTACTCCTTCCCTGTGGTGGGATTCTGGAAATAGTAAAGGAGCTGGGAACTCCGATGTTTCTGGGAAGTCCTCTGGAAGTACATGTTAAAAATAAAGAACCCCTGCCAGGGATGTAGCTCAGTGGTGCCAAGCCTGCCTCAAGTGCAAGGTCCTGAGTTCGGATCCCCGGAACCAGGAAAAAAAACAAAAGAAGCCCTTCTGGGGATGACATTAATGTTGCTGGTTTATTCTGCCTTAGGGAGGAGGGCGCTGGGTGGCTCAGGGTGTGATGCAGTAACCTGTGTACTTGGTGCCGCCACACCGAAACATAACCCTGTCGGTCAGTGGGGCTGTGTTAAATATTAATGCCAAATGATAGCATGCAGGAGTATTTAACAGACCAACTCCTGATAAAAAACAGCAAACGCTAGCATGGCATGCGGACCCGGGGCCGTGGTTTGATGCCAGACGTGGGTCACGGGGGACCACTGTGCAGGGTCACTGCGGGCCCCACAGGCTTTGAGCCTTCTCGTGGAACTCGGCACCGAGGAGATTTGGGGGGCAGGCGGGGTCCGTGCAAGCTCAGGGTGCAGAGCCCTGGTCCTCGGCCCTCTGCGACCCTGGTGTAGCTGGTGGGGAGCTGAGCCTTGTGCCACGTGGGAAATACTTCTTCCACAAGGTTCTGCAGGGGTCCGGGGCCCCACCCAGCACCCAGGGCACCCCGCTGTCCCTGCGTTCTCACCGTTGGAGTGGGGATCCCTCACTCCAGAGTTCTCAGGCCCAGAGACCCGCGCTGGTGGTGGAGGGTTTGTCCGGGTGTGAGGTCAGTGGCACCGCTGGCCCAGCTGCAAGGGGACCCAGATCAGGCCTGGCCACTGGCCGTGGCCGTCCATCTCCTGGGCCCTCCCGTGCCTTCCACACTGAACCTGGGCATGTCTCTCTTAGTGGCCAGATCTAACTGTTGTTTGAAAGAACAGAATACAGTAAAAGACCCCAGAGTGACTTTATAGAGGTCACTTAATGTCAAGTTGGTCTTCACTGTGGGTCACGGTGGAAAAGTCAGCAGTGGTGGAGGCGGAATTAGAAACAGGCTCAGAGAGGTTGAGTGACCTGCCTGAGGTAGCTCAGCTGCTGTGGCTCTGTGAGGCCCTGGCCTCAGCAGCCTGGCACTGGGCCCTCACTGCATGGCCAGGGGGGCAGAAATCGCTCTCTACTGTCCCCTGGAGGAACCAAGAAGGGGTCTGGGGCCCTTGGTGACTGAGCTCAGGGACAACCTCTCCCTGCCTTCTTGCTTGTGTGATCTCAGCAACCTGAAGGTTTGCCAGGGAGACCTCAGGGGACTGGAGGAGGAGCCGGAGCATGTGAGGCCCCTTCCGTCACGGAGAGGGCTCCTCCCTCCCTCCCTTCTGCTCCTTCCCACCTTCCTGTCTTCCAGTACTGAGGAGTGAACCAGGGCTTTCACAGTGAGCTGCATCCTAGCCACTTTTTTTTTTTTTTTTTTTTTTTTTTTTTTTTTTTTTTTTTTTTTTTGGTACTAGGGATTGAACTCGGGTCCTTGCGCTTGCAAGGCAGGCCACCGAACCGCTGAGCAAAATCCCTGGCCTCATCCTAGCCCTTTTTGACAGTGTCTTGTATGCCACTAAGTTGCCCAGGCTGGGCTGGAACTTGCCATCCTCCTGCCTCAGCCTCCCAGAGTATGCTGTGGACAAGGGAGTCACCTGTGTGGAGCCTCAGCAGGGCGCTAAGACTCAGTGAGCTCTGCCTGGCTGTGCACCAGGTGTGTCTGTGGCAGTGGGGCCCAGGCGCTGTGTAGAAAGAGCCCCAGCCTCTGAGTGGGGCCCTGCTCATTGGGCGAGCAGCCCGGGTGAGGCCCGCAGTTCCCTGTCCCTGTGCTTTGCTGCGAGGCCCTGAGCCCAGGCCTGCTGGTATCGGGGAGGACCCTGGAGTCTGGCTGGCAGGTGTGTCTCCTCAGCTGTGTGTGCCTCTGATAAAATGTAAGGGGATCTTTAAGTCCTTGTGTGATTTCATTTAAGATTTCAGTGATTTAAAATTTATCATTTTCCTCTAAGAAGTAAGTCAATAATGACATTTAATCAGCTTAGCTTTCTTCCCCTCCGCGATTGCTTTTTACCAGAATGTGCACAGTGACCAAACAAGGGTCAGTGCAGGGTGCTAATATGTCTCAGAAGTAGCCAGGGCTCGTGTGGGGTGTGCTTCCCGCCGTGGGCACCGTGCAGAAGCCCCACAGGCAGGGGACTTGGGAGTGTCCAGTCTGTCCGCCCTGGGAAGGGCTGAGCTCCAGGCCTGTAGCTGAGGCTCCCCACGGGGTGACAGGGTCCGTCCTCGCGGCTGCTTCAGCCCAGGACACTCTGTCCCCTTTGGCCGTCCCTATCCGGGTCTCAGCCCCAGGGAGTTCAGCTCTCACCCTGGCTGCGGGCGCAGCTCCTGTGAGTGCGGGCCATGGAGACCTACTGCAGTGGTTACACAGGGGACTTGGCTTCTGCAGAGGTGACAGAGGTCACGGGAGGCTGGAGTTACGTGGTCAGGAGCCCAGGGCAGCCTCAGCACCATCACCTAACTCCCCGCATGGGTGTGCGTGTGTGAATGCATCCATGTGCGTGCACTTTGCACGTGTGTGAGTGTATCTGCGTCTGTGTGCGTCTGCGCATGTGCTGGTGCTGAATGTGAGGAACGTGGTTGAATGTCCTTCAGAATCAGAAAGATTCTCAGCCCCCCTGTCCCGCATCTTCCTGGCTTGACCCCAGCAAAGTGTGACCCTCCAGGCCTGTTTCTGGGGCTGAAATGGTGGGGTCACATTTATGCCCCCTTCCCTGGTGTGAGGGAACTGGAGCCTGGTGTTGACCTCGGGGTGCCCACTTTCGGGGCCCCAGTTCCCTACTCTGTGCATGGGGGACCCCGTGCCAGGCTGGAGCTCAGGGCAGGAGCACTGGACTGGCAGGGCCAGTCCTGGGTGCCCCAGGACGAGGACGTGATGTGGGCAGCAGCACTCAGTCTCCTGGAGGTGCTCTTGGTGTCCCGCTCTTTCCTGCACTGCTCTGATGGTCAGAACCAGTGCGCAGTGACTGTCGCGGGCCCGGGAGCCTGACCACCGACACCGCTTCCTTCTAGGACTCCTGGGAGGACCTGGTCATCGGGGATGTGGAGCTGAAGAGGGTCCTATCATGCCCCAGGTGAGCGCGCGTCCTGCCTTGGCCTGGGCGTGTGGCTTCAGCCTCCCCTGTGCTTGACCTTGGTGCCTATGTGACAGGTGCATCTTGACCACCGTGGACCCCGACACAGGCATCATTGACCGGAAGGAGCCGCTGCAGACGCTGAAGAGGTTGGACAGTGCAGGGGCCTGGGATTCTAACGTGGTCTGTGCAGGTGTCAGGGGCTGCGGGTACTGAGGACCTGCTACCCAGCAGGGCCTCCCCCAGTTCATATAGCCTAACACTGGACGGGGCGGGTCCTCCTGTGCTTTTAATTCCTTCCTTCCTCCCTTCCTTCCTTCGTTTGGGTGGAAGTCAGGGCCTTCACACTTAGCTACATCCCTAGCTCTCTCTAAAAAAAATTTTTATTTTTAAATTTTGAGACAGGGTCTTGCTAAGTTGTTAAGTTACCCAGGCTGAGTTTGAACTTGTGATCCTCCAGCCTCAGCCTCCCAGAGTGCTGGGATTACAGGCGTGTGCCATGTGGTGGGCTGATACATTTTTATCTGATACATTTTATATTCCATTTTGAAACTTTACTACCAATTTGTAGTAACATTTAGTTGTGCATTTCTAAATGAAGGCCTCAAATTCTTGTTTGATTATGCTTTTTATAATCCAAATGCCTCTGTTAGCACCAGCATCCAGGGCTATGAGAGTCACTGAAACTGTGTGACGACACAGGAGAGAAGACGGGCGGGGTGGAGTCTGAGTTTTCCTTCCTCAGCTGCAGAAGCTTGGTGAGGAGCTCTCGATGCAGGATGGGTCTGCAGCCCTGAGCAGCCCTGAGCAGCCCTGCTCAGCACGGGCCTGACCCTGCTTCCCTCCTCAGCGCTGCAAAGCAGAAACAGTTCTGGGGGCTGAACTCTGCTTTGTTCCCCTTTTCTGTATTTTGTTGTTTGTTTCCGATGAGTTTAGGTTGGAGAAAAGGTTGCTCATGGAAGCCTCCAGACTTATAATTCCATTTTGTTTTTGTTCTTTGGCTTTTAAGATGTGGGGACATTAATTTTACTTTTCTCACATAAACCTTGGAGAGGAGTAACCTTGGCAGTAGCCTGGGGGTGGAGGTTTAAATCCAGGGCTGCACGTCAGATCCCGAAAGCCTTAGTTCAGTGAGGTGCCCACGTACACAGGAATTTCTGTCATTCTTATAGATGGGTTTTCCCTTTTAGCTTCAACCTGAAGCCATGGAAATCTTGTTCAGACTCTCAGAGTCTATCTACAAAAACTAGGACTAGTTGCAGTTTGACAAATCGTCAGTGACTTCTCTGGCAACACTGGAAAAGCGCTGGATTTTATAACAGGATAGGCTGGGAATGGAAGCTCGGATTCCATGGGGAGCACATAGGTTGTTGTTTTGCTTTTGTGCATGATGATAACTTTTCTTGTTTTCCAGCTACCGCCTGTGTGACCCCTCTGTGAAGCATTTGTACCAGTCATCCCCACTTTTTGGGGTCTATTTTACGGTGGAAAAGATTGGAGTCCTGAGAGTTGGGGACCCCGTGTATAAGCTGGTGGACTGATGGCCCGCTGGGGTGACAGTCAGAGAGGTCAGTCCTGCTTCTGGAGCTCAGAGTGTGGGTGCCGCTGCCCAGCTGCCTCGTGTGAAGACCTTTCAGAGTTGCACTGCTTGTAGGAATTGGGAGACATCCTCTCCCCTCAGTGGCCTGCATCTCCCCCAGCCCCCTCCACCTGGGCCACCCCATGAAGGCTGCTTACACTGGAGCAGGAGGGGGTGTCAGCAGGAGTGAGTGTGAAAGTGAAAAGTTCACCAGAACGCCACATTTACTTACTTCTGTCTCAGACGGAAAAGGAGAAATGTCTCACTTGTTCAAACTCAACTTGGGAGGAATTTTTAGGTCAAATGCTTTTATCAAGTGTATTGTAAAATGTAATTTAAATTTGAAAAGAAATCTGGAATTGCAGGCTAGAAAATAATCTCACATTGATCTCCCTGAGCTGGGAAAAAAAAAAAAAATCCTGAGCCCTGGAGGCATTTGCCCAGCCCTTGAGGGCAGCCAGGACATGAAGGGCAGTTGGAGCCCTGCCCAGTTTCTGAGCAGCTGCTCTCTCAGCATCTTCGACCGGATCTGGAAGGCACTGGTCTCCAAAGCCCTACACACCCTTCCTCTCTCACTGCCTGCGCCTCATGGTCTGTTACTTTTCTTGTCACTGAGACAAAATACCTAATGCCCACAGTTAAAGGGGAAAAAGCTTATTTAGCTAACATTTTGTGGAGGTTTCAGTCCATAGTCGACTGGCTCCAAGGCAGGGCAGCAGAGGAGCATCACAGAGGAGAAACAGTCCATGGCAGGCAGAAGGCAGGAAGCAGCAAGTGACCACAGCAGCCTCTTTCTGTCCCTTGTATTCTATCCAAGCCACCCACCCTTAGGGCAGGTGGCACTCACACCCAGGGTGGGGCACCCTTAATCCTACCCAGAACTGTGCAAACCAATCAGTGGACCAACTTAGTAACCACAGATCCTTCATCCCAGCATCATACACTCTAGATCCAGCCACCTCTAAAAAGCCCCACCTCTGACCCCATGAGGCTTTGGGGCCACAACACACAGTTTCCTCCCACCTGGGCACCCACCCTTCATGGCAGTGCGGGCTCAGTGTGAGAGACATGCAGGTTCCCATCCCTGCTCATCCTCCAGTGTGGGGGCGTTGGGCTTGGAAATGCACAGCCTGCTGCCCAGCTGCATCCCCTGCAAGCTCGGGGCCTTTGGGGGACAGGTTAAAGAATAGTCCTGGAAGCAAACGCAGGTCATACTGACTCCGGGGTACCCGAGTTTCTTATTGATCTGCTCAGAATTTAAGTGTACAGTGCTGGGGGTGTAGGTCAGCAGCATAGCGCCTGTCTGGCAAGCACAAGGTTCTGTGTTTGATCCTTGGCACAAAAAAATATATTTTTTTTAGTATACAAAAGTTTTTGTTTTGTTATAACAGCAACACAAGTTCACCATGGCAGATTTAGTAAAGTAAAAGAAAAAAATCATATATTGTTACTCTTTGTAAGTCTTATTCCAGTAGGAACTTTTTTTTAGAGTAGCTGTGATACACATACATGTCGCATGCTGTGCACACGTATGGATGTGTGCATCTTTCACAGCTCTCCTATCTATTCCAGTGTCATTTTGGTGGCTTCAGCATTACATTGTATACATGTGTGACCCTCTTTGAACACAATTTCTTCAGTAGTGGATACTTAGTCATCTAATTCTGTTATAAATAATAGTATACAGTAGCCGATATTTTTCCAGGCAGAGTATTTTAAAGTTAAAGGATTATGGGTAAGTTAGACTAGTAGAAGCAGACTTTTTTTGGAAATAGTATCTTCTGTTGGCCTCAAACTCTCCAAGCTTCCACCTCAGCCTCCTGGGTGGAAGCGGAATTACTGGCCCAGGTAAAGATCCCCTTTTTAGCACACTAGCCAAGTGTGTTTGAAGCAGTCGTTGGTTTGCGCTGCGTGCCTGGCCGGTGTCCTGTGGCTGTAACCACTGGCCGATGCTTTATAGCAGAATTCACTTAGCTCCGAGAGGTTTACGTTGCCTGCAGCTCAGCTTCACGAGGAACCGCCGCGGGGTTACCCATGACTAGTGGCCAAATAACTGAATAATAAGGGTTCTTATCCTTCCTTTGGCTCCCGGCATCCAGGAGGCGCTGATGAAGATCTCACTGAGTAGTGAGAAAGAAGTATCACTCGCCACGGACGCCTCCTCCCTGCACTGAGGCTGCTTCTGACCCTGCAAAGCTGCATGAGCTCGGGTTAACGCAAGGGAAGGGTGTGAGGTGATGTGGGGTAGGGAGGTGTACGAATTTTGATAGCAAAGGCTTTTTAGATTAACAAAATTATCTATAAAATTATTGTGTTAATCACAGCTATTACATGTTGCCAGTCCCTGACTTTATACTGATGAACAAAGGTTAAAGCGTTAACTAAAATTTAAAAAATACGTTTATACACTGTTGTTTTAAGAAAGAGGTGAAGCAACAAGTCCCCGTTGCCCACTTTCCATGTTAACAGACGCCCAGGTCCGGGCCTGGCTGCCGCCGCCTCCCTCCCTGCAGTGTGGAACCAGGCTGATGCTGCGGGCGGGCGTTGCTGTGTAGACGCTTTTTTATTTCATTTCTGCCTCTGTTAACTCATACAAAATAGTCGTGTCTGTCGATACATCACCTGGAATTCCAAGTAGGAAAAGGCAAAGAACGGCATTTAAAAGATAAAGGAATTTGGAGAAAGGAAGGGACGCAAGAAAGTATGAGCGTGTCATTAAGCGCATTTTTAAAACTGAGAGAAATGAGCTGTCTTCAAATGCTTAAGCTCTCGTCCTCGATGCCCTAACAGGTGACTGGATGAACCTGCTCTCGCGCTGTGGTGTCTTTGTTTCAATAAACACGGGTCTCAGCTCTGCTTGGTCTTTGGTGTCCCGCCTCAGCCTCCTGGGGCTCCCGTCACGCACTGTTGGGGACCCCCACCCGGAACTGGGGACCCAGGCTGCCCGGCCGCGGGGCGTCGAGACTTGGAGGGCAGCGGCTGGCTCTCTCCTTCCCGCAGCCCCAGGAGGGGACGGGTGATCTGGGAGGCGATGACTGGGAATTTCTGTGCCTGAAAGCCATTTTTCCCTTTCCAAAGAGCAGCGAGGGAGGAGACTGGAGAGGCCGAGCCTGCCTGACCCTCCTTCCGCGGAGGGTGGGGCGAGGGGTCAGGTGCAGGGAGAGGCGCCTGGAGAGGGAGAGGAGCCCGTCTCGGCCGGCCCGCCTGTGCCTGAAGCACAGTGCCGGGGAGGTGACCCGAAGCCCGGGAGAGGGTCCCAGCGCACCGAGGACCCTTGAGTCTTCATCCACCGGCCTTCTCCTGCGGGGCTGCCCACGGGGACGCCCCTCGGCCCCGTCCCGACCCCACCCACGAGGCCCCAGAGCCCGAGGTGGGCGGGACCGGCTCGGTCCTCCGGGAGGACCCCGTCGGGACAGCTTCACCCATGCGGGGAGGGGGCGCCCCTCAGAGGCCCTGGCGAGCCCGTCCACCGCGTTTGCTTTAACTCGAGTCGAGCGCAGAGCGAGGGCCTGGCGAGGGCTCCACCGCCGAGCCTGGCACAAAAGTCTCCCTGAGCTTTTCAACACGCGGAATAACGTTCCCTTAGCAGATTGGCACAGCCAGCCAACAGGAGGCCGAGGCCCGAAACCACTCTGAGGGTGGTGGGGCTTTTTGGCTAAGATAAGGCGCGTGCGTGTGTGTGCGTGTGTGTGCGAGCGCGCGCAGTGCTGGAATCAAACCCAGGGCTTTCACACTCAGCTGCACCCCAGCCATTTTTATTTTGGACTTTGAGGCAAGTTGGGAAGTTGCCCGGACTGGCCTCAAAATTGCAGTCCTCCTGCCTCAGCCTCTGGGAATTCTGGGATCACAGGCGAGCGCCACCACCCCTGGCTAGCGACCTCCTTAGGAAGTGGCCGGGACTGCCCCCGCGGCTGCCGGGCGGGTCCTGTCCGGCGACCCCC